TTCACCTATTTGAACGAATAGAGCAATTTTCTTCCTGATATCGTTTGTTTAGTGCAGGCCTTCTTAACTAGTTTATTAGAAGTGCCAAAACGAAAAGAATTTGTAATTGAAGCGCCACCCTGTATAGTTGACTGTGCTGCGAGGGAGCGTAGCGACCGAGCCGAAAATGGGTGGGGTCAGGGGGCGAAGCCCTAACGGGGGTAGCAGGGGTGGGGCCCCCTGAAGCTGGTGGATCTAGGGCTTTTTAAAGGCCCAAATGGGGCATTTTCAACACCATTTCATTCCACAATATATAATCAATCATAATTTCTTATTGAACAAAAAATTAGTACAATTCCTGGGTACAATTACACCGGAGGTATATTTATATGCATTTTTTGTGTGCAATAAACACGGGAAATGTCAAAATAAAGTGAAAATCAAACAAACAAAAACAAGTTGTTTCCAAAGATTGGCAATGTTAAAATTGGTATCCCATCGTAAGCTAATTGTTGTTCAGACCTTAGGTTTAGATTTGTATAAAATGGTAAAAAACGATAAATTCCCCCTTTCTTCCTGTTTGTTAAGCAGGCATTTTGGGCTCAAATTCGACTGCAACTTCTTGATTTAGCTGAGTATTTAATTCTAAAATAAATATTTTCTTTCTTTCTGTTTTTTGTTTTGTTGTTGCAACAGTCGCGCGCCACTCCGACTGACCGCAAGCGCCGCCAGTTGAGAAGGCCTGCAATAGAGCGTATCGCAGTTGGCCAGATGCAAAGTAAGTAGCCCACTGTCCAATCATGAAATTCACGATATCCGGGGCTAACGAATTAATTGCAGTGAGAACAGCGTGAATTTTCTTATTCCGGAATAGGCGCTAGTACGGGACTAAAAACAGCGTGTGTGAAAAGCCAAAACAAATAGTCCGGGGTTAAGGATAGTACGGGGCTAAGCAAAATACGGGGTTAAGCAAAACCAGTGTGCAATCCCTAATACTGATAACGAATTATCATTCTCGAAAGATGCCCAATGTCCAACGCTCATGAAGCGTTGGTAAACAAATTAATGTGGTACCACAAACTATAAAAAGGAAGGGTAAATATTATTACAGTCATAGACAGATCAAGGTTCATTTGTCCTATAAAGTCTCGTTAAATATCAAACTAATATTATCATTCGACAATAATGAGCATTTCAGTTAACCACTTCCTTTCTTCTTGTTGTTGTTGTTGTTGTTGTTGTTGTTGTTGTTGTTGTTGTTTTTTTTTTTTTTTGGGGGGGGGGGTCCAATTTGTGAGGAAATATGTAGCAGCGAACGTTTCTACAACCTGATATCTTTTAAACATACATTCAACAACAACAGGTGCTGTCTCTTTTGGGAAAATATACTGCAAAGAAATATTGACTTGTCTTCCGTGTTCAAAAGGAATTTAACATATACAAGGGAACATCGCTAAAGCCCCAGTCCCATATAAAGCCGGACCAGCACGGACGAGCAATGACCACTCCGGACCATCCCGGACCATGGTCTGGGGTGATCCGGGATGGTCCGGGATGTTTTGTTCAAAAAATCGCAACCGCCGACCGTCTCCCCGGACCCAACACGGTACCACTACGGACCGCCCCGGACCGTCCGGGCATAGCCCCGGCAGCAGTACAGATCATTCCAGACCCAGCACGGAGCCGCCACGGACCGTCCCGGACCACCCCGGTACCAACACGGTGCCAACACGGATGACACCGGACCATCCCGGTGCCAACACGGATCATCCCGGAACGCCCCGGTGCTGGTCCAGGGTGATCCGTGTCGCCACCGTGCTGGGTCCGGGATCATCCGTAGGGGCGCCGGGGTGATCCGGGGTCAATAACTCACTCCCGGACTGCCACGGATCAACACGGACCGCCCCGGCGCCACTACGGATGACCCCGGACCCAGCACGGTGGCTACACGGATCACCCCGGATCAAACTATTGTCCCGGACCGTCCCGGACCATCCCGGACCCCATCCGGGGTGATCCGGGATTTGGTCCGTGTTGACACCGTGTTGGCACCGGGGTGGTCCTGGATGGTCCTGGATGGTCCTGGATGGTCCTGGGCGGTCCGGGAGTCGACCCCGGATGTTTTTGACGGTCAAAAACTGCCGGGATGGTCCGGGACGGTCCGGGACAATAGTTTGATCCGGGGTGATCCGTGTAGCCACCGTGCTGGGTCCGGGGTCATCCGTAGTGGCGCCGGGGCGGTCCGTGTTGATCCGTGGCAGTCCGGGAGTGAGTTATTGACCCCGGATCACCCCGGCGCCCCTACGGATGATCCCGGACCCAGCACGGTGGCGACACGGATCACCCTGGACCAGCACGGGATGATCCGTGTTGGCATCGGGATGGTCCGGTGTCATCCGTGTTGGCACCGTGTTGGCACCGGGGTGGTCCGGGACGGTCCGTGGCGGCTCCGTGCTGGGTCTGGAATGATCTGTACTGCTGCCGGGGCTATGCCCGGACGGTCCGGGGCGGTCCGTAGTGGTACCGTGTTGGGTCCGGGGAGACGGTCGGCGGTTGCGATTTTTTGAACAAAACATCCCGGACCATCCCGGATCACCCCAGACCATGGTCCGGGATGGTCCGGAGTGGTCCGTGCTCGTCCGTGCTGGTCCGGCTTTATATGGGACTGGGGCTTTAGATTGCACTCGACGATATACGTGCATGCAGGAAGTAACACTATGAACATCACGGACAAAGAAAGAGGACAAAATATCCTCATTCTACCCTCAACAAAAGAACATCCCTTCACTGCTATTATGTAAAAATGTGTAGAACAGGTGAATATGCATGTGACACCTGTTATACACATTTTTACATAATAGCAGGGAAGGGATGTTCCTTTGTCTACCTGAGGAACTGTATATTTTATGCGCACGCGGCATACTAGTACCAGGAAGTTCATTACAGCTTCCTGCTAGTACCTTGAGCATGTAAAGGCGCTATATAAATATCAATATGTATGTATGTACCGTATGTACTAGATTTAGGAAAATCAAGGTTGACGCATTCTCGATCGCCGACTGATACGACGTAACGCATGCGCATCGCCTTAAAATGACGTCACACGTTGCAGTCAAAGCTGTCGACGTGCAAATCTAAAAGTCCCAACGATCGCATTCTGGTGTATATACAAAATGTTAGTCAACCGAAATAAGTATGGATTTAATGAAAACCATTTCAAACTAAGATACGTATTTGAAAGAGAAATCAAAAACAGAAATGTTGTAAATCAGGAGCTTAAAAAGCCAGACCAGAGGTTGCCAAAGAAACTGTTACAAGCACTTCAGATGAAAATATTGTATAGTTGAGAAAAAAAATATGTGATTTTATTGATAACATTGTGTGTCAATTGTATTTGTTCTCACAACTTTATTTTGATGTTTGAATGTAAATAAACACCTCATTTGAGGCACCAAAAAAAATAAATGTAGCAGCGAATCATCCAGCCGGTGAATGAGCGGGGATGGGGGGGGGGGGGGGGGAACACTCATTATTATTTTTTTAAAGACAAAATTAACGTTACCATCTTATTTTTTACCATTTTTTTGCGGCTGGCTGAGTCGTTTCGAAATTTCCAGCGCGATTTTCACATTTTAACCCTTCCCCCTCGAAAAAAAACCTGCGTACGCTACTCGATCACATTGTCAATTTTTTTTATCGGTTCGTAGTTGAGAGTCTAATGACATATTCTGTAGTGTGGTTACAATTAATAGTGCCAGAAAAAAAGACCAAGGAAAACTCAAAACCATTGTCAAACAAGCAGACAAACTAATAAATAGACCAATGGATTTTGATGAGGTTTGAAGAACCAGAGTTATGATGCACATAAAATAATTCAGGCCTAAAAGTTCGGGCACAACATTAGCAGCGAGCAATACGTTATGTTTTGTTTTGCGGGGGTAAGATTCCCAACAGGATAAAGCCACTATAAGACATAATTAAGCACTTCCACCGATGTTTAGGGGAAGTGTTGCACAAAGAAGAGTCATGTATTAGACTTGTATACAAATTAAATATGAAATTATGGAACGCCATCATGAAATCCATTGCCCTATTTGTGCAAAATAAAAAGTAATCTTCTACCAAAATAAAGAACCAGAAAACAATTAGGTATCAAAACGATTGAGATCATAATATGTATTTTCAGTAACTATTTATAAAAGTTTCAACTACCCGAACCGCGTGGAGCGCTGTGTTCCAAAAGGTGAAACAATTCTATTTAGTAATATTAATCAAGTTAATGATGACCTCAACATGAATTATAAAACTGTCATGACATGTAATGCTATTATAAACTACATTTATATCTTTATAAATGAGTTTTCAACGTGAAATACATCAATTGTCTTTCCCGAAAAGGAAAAAACCCATCTTTCTCCAGCAACATCTCCGCAAGTCAACATAAATATTTATATTGTGATTCATTATTACAAAAAAAATATCATCTTCTTTCTTATTCTTTGAACAAGACATTGGGGATATATTGAAAATTATTCAGCAGCATACTATACGTGCAGGCAGGGCTCTCAGGCCATGGTCCATATAGTGAGCTATAACATGCTGTAGGCCTGTATAAGTTGTGTGTGATTCGAAATGATGATGATGTCATACAAGGTGATGTAAAATGTGTTAAATGAATAAAGAAAGATATTGAAATATCTTGCCAAAAATTATTATCAATATTATTGGTTTGCATTGTGCTTAAACGGAATTGAATTACATCACTTCTGTGCGCTAACTACTTTTGGTATCTCTTACTTGAAACGTTTCCAATTCATTCATGCGTGGAAATATCATGATATACTTGGTACCATATGAAAGAGGATGAATTGAACTTGTTACATGAATTAATGCGAATTTATCAGGACATAATTTAAGATTAAATCTCGATTAATATTATATATTTTAATTACAGACACACACTGTTTGATTGCCCTTTTAGAGGGCGTTCCATGGTTAATTAAATAAAGACGTACGTTGTATTATACAGACATGTCGAGAGCACGTAGATATGGAGTGGTTGGAATTATTTGTCTCATTATTATGTCAGTGTTGGGAATGTATCTTGACAACGTGGTAAGTAATTACAAGCTTATTCTATAAACAACTATTTTATATAATCAGTAGGATTTGTAGAAAGATCCATACGATATTTCATGGGCGTGACATTTTCTTGTTGTTGGCCGTAACTGTGAGTGTGTGAGTATTACGAGGGCATCACTTGTACAATGGGGGTTGTTGCCGGGCAGTACACCAAACAAACACATTTGCCTTCGGAATTAACCACACAGTATTCATCAAATAGCCACAACCATCACTGATATTTGTTCTTTGTAAAATCGCCAAGATAAATTTCAGAAGATTTGGCTAACACCCAGTAAATAAAGAACGGGTGCTCGATCTGTAATTTTTGTTCTGACTTGTTTTCAATTACAGATCCAGCAAGGGATCTTTATTAACTGGGTGTAAGCCAACAATTTGTTTAAACAATTGAAATTTCTCCCAGGAAGAACTACATTTATAAAAATTATTATTAGCAAAAAGATATTTGGTCGTATATGCAATGTGTACAAAAAGGCTTCTTCGTCATGGATTCGGATATACTACATGTCCGAAAAAATGGCCTATTTTTAATTCGGTTGTATACGTCCTTGCGGTTCCATTGTTACATGTCATTAATATCGTATTATAGATTGTCTCATACTAATGTTTCAAGGTAGCTCTATAGCTTGTATATTCTTCGTCTCAATAGATAAGGAAAGATGTCGATGATTTGTATTTCTGTTTCCATTTTCATTGAATACTCTAGACAGAGTCTTTTCAAAATTTACAAACTGTGTCGCTTTTTATTTATGATATAAAAAGAAAAAGCATCATACAAGGCAAATAGACAGTGGATGTTTACGTGTGCCTAGATTTCCGATTGTTACAAGTGTAGCCCAATTGTTTCTTCTATATTTGAATGGAATAAGCTAGATAATTCGTTGAGAACGGCTTCCTCTGTCAATTCAGTTAAGAGATTGTTTTAAAAAAGTTGTAATTTGTGAATTGCTCAGCCGAACATACACTACGTGCATGTTTTGTAATATTAACATGACTTATTCACATAACTGCGACTTAATTAATATTTTCCTATTGACATTACTGTTTACTAGGTTAATGATATATGTTTATTTTGCAAACGAGTATTATTTTTGTTACTGTTCTGTATAAATGTTATAAACGATGTAAATATGTTCATTCAGGGCCCCATGGAAGACCACTACTTGTTGGTGAATGGGCTACCCTGTCAAAAGAATAGAAATAAATAAATAAATAAATAAATAAATATATGTTTCCTTTCCATTGTGATAAGTGCCCTGCTTTTAGTACCTGTATTTTTCCTTTTCGCTGTTAAAATGTGCCTTTTAAATATAGTCCCATTTGCTTTCCAAATACCGTAGAGGTTTTCAAGTCGATATGATTCATTTGTACAACACAGCAATTTGAATGAGTGAATCAATGGGAGAAGGGAACGATACAACGCACCCAGTGTGTCCCAGAAACAACGAAACCGAAAGTTAGCGATGTTTTATCATAACTTAATCACAACTACAATTAATAAATGACACATATTTGTACAGCTTAGATCCTCCTCTTTTATTTGATGCAACTCATATGATGCATATTTCACGCATGAGTGATTAAACAAAATTTGAAGAAAAGATACCCAAAAGTCATTTGGCGAATGGTATCTGAATTTCAAAGAAAAACAAAATCACATTTCCAGAAAGTTCATTTCATATGCCCTTTCATATCACTCCTCAATCAGGGAGCTAGGAATAACAATGTTCTGTTTGTTTAAAGTAAAGCTTGCATTTCCATAATTTTATTAAACGCCCGTTCCACTAGCTGTCTGCCCTAATAACAAAGAAGACGAAAGACTTCATGCATGGCTGATCGTCAACGAAACGGAGTTTGCTGTTTGTTGCTACGGCAGGCAGCCAGTGAAAATGAATTCGTTTGTTACAATAATGGAAATGCAAGCATAAATTTAAACAAACAAAACTTTGTTATTCCTGGCTCATTTTTTCCTGATTGGGGTCTCATATGAAGGGGAAAAATGGTTCTTTCTGGAAATGTGATTTTCCCTTTGAAATTCAGATACCGTTCGCCTAATGACTTTTTGGCATCCTTTCTTCAAATTGTTTCTAATCACTCATGCGGGAAATATGCATCATATGAGTTGCATCAAATAAAAGAGGAGGATCTAAGCTTTACAAATATGTGTCATTTATCAATTTTAGTTGTGATTAAGTTATGATAAAACATCGATAATTCTCGGCTTCGTTTTTTCTAGGACGCAATTTACAATCGCAGACAGCTGCGCTCTTTTTCGACCATCCTTATTATGTTTAATGCTAGTCGTTCGACTGTTTGTCCACTTCAGAAAGGAAACAGGAAAGGCTGCCACCAACAAATATTGGCATTATAAGCAAGTTATCAAACAGGAAAGGCTGCTACCAACAAATATTGGCATTATAAGCAAGTTCAAATTACGCTTGCATTATCAAACCTGTATTCAATGTTGATCCTCCTACACCTAAAGTACGGAATTATAGCGTGGGGCAATTGTGCTGACTATGATCATTTAAATATAGAATGTCATTACTTCAGGAAAAAGCGCTGTGTGTTAAATGTCGTTATGATTTTCGAGCACACATAAATGCACTTCTACACACACATAGTATTCTAAAGAAAACACATTTATATACCGTTATTATCTGGGAATATCTACGAATAATTGAAATAGTAATGAACTGCCAAATATTATTTATTGAATGTTTACAAAGAATGTCAATATTTATCATTATCTTGCTCGGTCTGCCGGGCTTTTTCATCTACCAGAAACAAGAAATTGCTCTCAAATAAATTATTTGTCTGTTCAGGCTCAACATTTTGACGCTCTCTTTCAGATCCAGTTAGAGATAACCAGCGTTCTATATTTTTAGTAGAGGGTTCACAATTAATTTATTACAAAAATACATGTCTCCTACGTGTTAACATTCTAGGACATGGGCATGGGCGGATCCAGCCGGCCGATAATTCGCATATTGGGGGAGGGGGTGGGCGGGGGGGGGGGGGGGGGGGTGTAGTGAGCATTAATTTTTTTTTTTTTTGCTCCCGAAAATTTGAAAATCGCTCAGCCCGCCGCCCCCCCCCCCCGGATCCACCACTGGTGTCCAACAATTTTTCACAAAATAACTACAATTTCTATTTTGCAAAATGTATGATTCCGGAGAGTCTTTGCATTTTAGAGTACCTAGATAATATGCTTTCCATAATACTCTCATTACCTTAGCCTGCTTATACACTCTTTCAATTCAATGGACTTGAATATCTCTGTGCATTAACCTGTATAACTATAATTACTTTTACCTCATTTATCTCTTATCTTTTTTTTGAAGAGCACCTAAAAAGATTGTAAAACAAAGGTGTTTTTTAGTAATATTATAATCATGAGGTTTTTATCGTTATGCACATAATCAAGAACCTAAGGTTTCCTGTTTACGATTCAATTCCATATGGTGTTTTAATTATTATGATAATCAGAAAGGTTTGATTGTCATGCACAATGTTATAATCAAGAACCTAAGGTTACCTGATTACGATTCTATTCCATATGACGTTTTAATTATTATGATAATCAAAAAGGTTTGATTGTCGTGCACTAATCAAGAACCTAAGGTTACCTGCTTACAAATCTATTCCATATGGTGTTTTAATTATTATGATAATCAGAAAGGTTTGATTGTCATGCACGTAATCAAGAACCCAACGTAACCTGTTTACGATTCTACTATTCCAAACGGTGTGTTTATTGTAGCTTGTTTTATATACTAAGGAGTATAATCAATCCATCGGAGTGAAAACATGATTGGAATTAGTACATACAATCCATGATTGTGCAAATCGATATATGGGGCAGGCAACGTTCGGTCAGATTTTAGCTTTATATTCAAACGTTTTGCGTAACTTTTTAAAGTTGTATTAACAAACAAAAAACCTATAGGCGCCCTGTATATATTTGAAATGTTGGTTTATTTTGCTGAGAGAATATAAAAAAATTGTTGCTGAGACATGTTGAAGAAAAATGGTCTAATGGAAAAAGGAATAGATTACACTTTTCTGCTTATTATTGAATACAGGGAGGGGAAGTCCACCCTGATATTAAGTTAGCTTAATTAAAAGCAGAACGATAATTTGGGTTTTCTGTTGTCGCAGAAAAATCAAATTTTGTATTCTTTCATCAATATTCGACTTTAAACGCATTGAACGTTTTGAAAACCCTCGAGGAATATGTCTTAAATTAGATCCTCTTTCACATTATGATAACATTTGAGTCCAATTTTACCATCAAACTTTTGGGGGTTTTAGGCAATAACTTACTGTCAGATGACCATATTTTGATACCTTATTTGTGATACTGGCAGGACACAAATTGGCGTTGGGTCCATGGGGCGGGGCCCTCAGAAGCTCAGGGGTTTATTCATCAATTTATCGTCAGATGAGCATAATTTTATACCTTATTTGTGACACTGGCAGTTCACGAATTGGCGTGGGGTTCAGGGGGCAAAGCCCCCGCAAGCTCAGGGGTTTGGGGCGATAAATTACGGTCAGATGAGCATATTTCATACCTTATTTGTGACACTGGCAGGTCACGAATTGGCGTGGGGTCCAGGGGGCGGAGCCCCCGCAAGCTCAGGGGTTTGGGGCAATAAATTACGGTCAGATGAGCATATTTCATACCTTATTTGTGACACTGGCAGGTCACGAATTGGCGTGGGGTCCAGGAGGCGGAGCCCCCGGAGGCTCAGGGGTGTTAGGCAATAGATTCCGGTCAGATTAGCATGTGCGATGCAGGGGACAGAGCCACCGTCAGTCAAGGGGTTTTAGGCATTTAATTACGGTCAGATGAGCATATTTTGATATCTTTCCCCTTTATTTCCCTTTTTTTTTCTACGGTCAGATGAGCATCCAGGGCCCCGCCTTAGGGCCAATGGTTGGGTTCGGGGGGGGGGGCAGAGCCCCCAGAAGCTCAGGGATTTTAGGAATTTTATAACTATCAGACAAGCATGCAGGGGCCCGCCTTAGGGCCCCTGGTGGGGTCGAGGGGGTGGAGCCCCGGAAACTTAGGGGTTTTAGGCATTTAATTACTGTCAGATGAACATATTTTGATACCTTATTTGTAACACTGGCAGGACACTAATTGACGTGAGGTCCAGGGGGCCGAGACCCAGAAGCTCAGAGGTTTTATGCATTAAATTACCGTCAGATTAGCATCCAGCCGTCCGCCTTAGGGCCCTAGGTGGGGTCCAGGGGGTAGTGCCACCGGAAGTCAAGTGGTTTTAGGCATTTAATTACGGTCAGATGGGCATATTTTGAAACCTTTGATATCTTTCCTTCTTTTTTTTTCCTTCTTTTTTTTTCCTTCTTTTTTTCCCCTTTTTTTCTTCCCTTCTTTTTTTTCCTTCTTTTTTTCCTTCTTTTTCCCCTTCTTTTGTTTCCCTTTTTTGGCCAGGGGGGGGGGGCGGGCCTGTCCTGTCATGTCTTGTTTTATCTTGTCCTGTTATGAAGTATTTTTTCATGTCCTGTCTCATCTTATTATGTCAGTTTCCTGTCCTTTTGTCATTCTGTTCTTTCGTATATTTCGATTATTCAAACACTTTTAAATGGTTTATGAAAATATGTTTTTATCTATTTTACTGTGATTATTAAAGATAAAGGTGAGTTCTAGTCATCCGATTGCATTGTGAAAGAAAAGGTGTGGAATGGATAAGAAAAAAATGATCATGTAGCATGTAAGTATTGGTGTGTACTGTAAAGTTCTGGAGTCATAAAAATCATAATAAATTTGGCCCATTCTTGGTAAGGTATCAAGCACTGTACACAGAAAGATGTATATGGGACTACACAAATGGTGTTGGGGCTACTAACCTTGATTTCCTAATCTTTCTATGCTTATTACTCAGCCAGTATACATTTTCTACCAAAATTGTTTGGCAAATGACATTTATTTGTAATCTTGAATATCAGTGTAATTTTCGTTTGATTCTGTGAGAATTCATTTTCTTTCTTTTTTCACCAGAACTCACCTTTATATTTAAGACACTTTAAAATGATTTATGAAAATATTGTTTATATTATATTTATTCTTGGTAACCTACACAAAGTAAACTATGCTTTCCAGTATAGGTTCTTGTTTCATTTCATAATTTTGAACTTACTTTGCCAACTATGTTCTTTATTGTGCAAACAATTGATATGAAATGGAATAAACTCGAATCAATTAATCGATTTGCATAACTTTATAGTGGGCGATCATTTGCAAATAGGTTGTAGGGTGATTCCCGAACAGTTGACAAAATGTCATACAATATGTGTCCGAACATGGTATATATTCCATACATTATGCTTTGTTACGTAGAACAAGCCATAATGTTATCCTACCCAGCAACAATTAATGTATGCAACGCACATTTTGACTATTGAAATACAATTTTCTTAAACAGGTGAACAAAGATTAGTCCATTAAATTTGATTAATTACAAAAATGGTTTGCTGTCGAAGTGCTATCTCCGAAGTGGCTTAAAGGTATTACAAAGTTTTGGTAAATTTTGAAAAATGGGTGGATAATGATTCTTTACAATTTTGATATATTTGGATGCCCCTGTGGATGTATTAAATGCACTAAAAATGTTAGCCCCTAAAACACTTCTGCTTTCGAGAAAAATTGAATATAAACATTTACCGGTGCTCCCGGTAAATTTTGATGAATTTCAAATAGCTCCTACGGCCGTACAATGGTAGCTGCGACCATGAAAATCTCAGAATATGTAGTTGTGCTATATAATTTCCGAACGGGAATAGCTAATCGGTCGATTTTAGTTAAGATACATTGTTTTATAGCTTAATTAATATCTTGACCTTGAGAGGGAGCTATACAACATAACGTGTTTATTATTTACAATTTCATAAATTTAGAGTCTATTTCGACCTCGACAACGACCACTGAATATTGTAAGATCGCATATGCTTCCAATATGTTCATTTGAACCAAATTCATGACCCCATACCAAAACTTTGTATTACCTTTAATTTGAAAAGGAGGGACTTTTTGTCGGATCCATACAAGAAACAGAAGCATACGTTACATGTATCAGTGAACAGATCAGACTTTATATAACGTTTTGACTGAGATTTAGTATTTTTACCGTGCTGCGCAAAGATGACAAAATTAGATTTTTTTTTTTTACATGTAAAGCTCCAATTGATAACATGATATAATTGCAAAATCAAGAAAAAATATTAGAGATAAAGTTTCCTTTCTTCTTCTTTTTCCTCTTTTCTTTCAATGCAAGAGTATCAAACAAATTGAATTTGTGTCCAGCAGTTTTAGCAACAATATAATGTTTAAACTTGAAGAAAAGAAAAAAAACCGTCCTGGTTGTTGTTGGTCGGCGAGCGTTTGGAGTTGAATGGGTAACTTATTACACATGATTCGTAGATCAATTTTTTTCAACCGAATAATAGTCGGCAACCACCGAGGATCAGTCGGCATGTACTCAGTCTAAGAACAGGGAGAGCACGAAAAAAACATTCCAAGACCAGTTGATCGGCAAAAGTTTTTCGATTCAGCAATTTAGTCCATATATATCGATATTATGATCTATCGTCCAATCATTTTGTTCTTCCTTAATAGGAGATCTCACAAACTAACTTGATCACGTTCTCTAAACATGATAAACCACGTCGTAGCATAGCTACAATGCACCTGCCATCAAGCTGTGGACCAACGCATCCAAATCATACAACCGTTTCTCTCGTATCAATTGTTCGTGGATCCGAGACAATTCCATGGTCACCTAAGACTGAGGATGCGACGGGACAGACAGTTGTGGTAGGGGACAAACTGAAGTTTAGTTTAGAGGCTCGAGATGTCATGGGACGGCTAAAGATACTCGGTGGAGACTACTGGTTTGCCATCATGGAGGATCTAAATAAAAACGGTACATTAGCATGTGATCAGTAGCTAGCATTTATTTGAAGAAAAACATAATTGAGTACTGCATGATCAGAATATGTAATTTTAAAAGAAATTTCAGTTATTCTTAAAGGTTTATATTCAATAGCAAGGGAAATTATATAATATGAGGTTTAGATAGCACAAAAAGGAAACACTCCAGACACAGATAATACATGGGACTCATGGACGTGTATAGATTGTGTTTCAACTAAATTTGATCCAGCAATATTTTTTAAAAAGATAGCATTTTGAGAGCAATTTTTTTTGTGAGACATTGCTAATCGTTTACTGGTACAAATGCAAATGATCAGAAAGAGAAACCTCTCATTTTTGTTTAGAGTTTACAATAATGCAATGTTCTCATCGTGAATCAGGCTATAAATTACACTTAAGTGTCGATTCTTTCTCAAATCTTTCCCTGTCGGCTGACCTTTTGTAAAATTGTGGCTTGAGGAATTTTTATAAATTGTCCTATTTATTAAAGTAGGCATTCTATCAAAATGTAACTTTATATCAATGGAAAGCTTATGACCTCATGAATTTGGAAACATTATTTTAGATTGTATGGATTGTAATTAAGTCATAAAAACAAAATCAAAAACGGATTTTTCATTATTCATTTTCTCTCCCAAATCAAACAAATAAAACGCCCAACATGATGTGACGTAGGCGATTGTAGCATGTCGCCTAAACATAAACAAAAGCTCGTAACCACTACATGGAGTCTATGGCTTTTGCTGTATAAGTCTGTTGCATGTTTTGATTGTTTTCCATACACGTTGTTTGAAGTAAATATAGATAAATTAAGAAATAAAAAAGGATAATTTTGCCTTTTACATAAAACTGACGGAAGAAATTATACAGATGAAATAAATCAATGAAAATTAACACAAAATGTAAGTAATATTACGATCGTTATATGTCAGTCATCGTTCTTGCTCAAATCGCACTGACTGGCCAACAAAAATCACATCAAATCAAATATCGTTCAGTGTTTTTTTTTCGTATATTGGTCAGTGAAGGCTTCTTGAAACAAACTTCACAACATTCTTCATTGTAGGCCTAATTACATAACCATTTTTAGCATTTCAGTTTTTGAATGGAAATTACTCCTAACACCCGTCTTCTTCACCGGCTTCCAACTGCGACCTCTGTCGTCTAGTCTGGTGAGCGAGTTTGTAAACACGTATTTTTAATTAAACTGGCCCATCAATATCATCGTCACTGGATTCCGACGATGAATAATGCAGATCCAAGTTACTGTCTGGCCTATTTTCACTCATTATGGATAATAAATCATTACAATTAATGCTAAATTGGCTGTAATCGATCGCCTATTGTATGTTGATACTGCATTGTGTGGATCCGGAAGTGGCATTGCTTCAATCGTCTACGTATCATCGAAGTCGCCTAATTCGTATAATTTCGGTGTCGTTTATGGATGGGATGCCAGAATTCAATGTAAAATGTCTGATTGTGGCTACATATGTATTTTTAGGGAAAAGATACGACACGTATCATTTCCTAAAGATCATGAGCTTTCATTTGACATACAATGTCTATTTAAGTCAATGTGTACTTTAAAGGCATCGTTTAAAATGTTAAATCTATGGTGCACAGCCCTACGTGGATGTAATGTTGAAGCCTTATAACAAAAATCGGGCTTCAAAATGACCGAGAAGTGCCTCAAAAAAGTAAAAATCTTTGAGTGACCGGTTTTACCATAACAATTTGTGAATCCAATCATAAATATCTTGATAATCAGACTGGCGATCAGCTTGTAAAAGTCATGGGCTTCCTGACTGACCTAAAGGTTTTTTTAATAATCATTGCAGCATGAGCTAAATCCAGGATTTTGTTTTCAGAAACTGAGAAGTTACCAGATCCTCTTAAGGGGAATCTAACCTAGGTAAACGCACTGTACAGTCACCAAACTATAATTGCTGCTATATAATATCTAGAGAAGGTTTCTGATTGGTCCTTAAGTTTGATAATCTACATCATTCATCCTGCATTTCCATAGCGATGAGTGTTACAGAAACTGCTTAATTCAAATTAAAGGAAACCTCACCCCAAAGAATAAATGTAATTGTACTGAAAGATTAGTTTTTATCTATCCCTATTGATCTACAGTATTCCTTACGTAAATGTACAAGAGATATATAGTGAAGACATGGGCGCTGCCATTTTCTTAATAATGTGACATACCAGGCGAATTTTTGCATGTATCATGCATCAAGTTCTAGTTAACTCATAGCCTGCCATAAGGCTACATGCACGCTATTGTTCTAGTGCTTTGTACACACTAGCAAGCTACTGCTTCTCTGCTTCTTGCATGTTTGCACGCATCCGTAATAGCAATTATTGTTCATGACCATAGTACCATCGCGTTAATCCGATTATCTCGTTATAAACTTGGCACCGGGGGATTTGTAGCTTGGCACAATGGGGATTAGCCCTGTGGCAGGATATTCAATAACAGACCATTACTTTACAATGAGGGAAAATTAAAGCTGCTAAGGCAAATTTAATATTTGGTGAAACATGCATAACAAGCAAAATACTATTGACACATTCCTTTAAAAATACTAAAATATAGCAGTTGACAAAATATATAGTATTTATGCGAAACCTTCACCCTAGAAGAAAAAAAACTTTATTATATACTTTACGTTCTGACATTTATAGAACAAAATATAAAGCAGGTGAATGAAATATGTTATCACCCAATACACGTGGGAAGGAAGCATCCCTAAATTTGAATACATTAAATTTAACTTGATAACCAATTTCGCATAATAAATCACATGGCAAAGAAAAAGTTGAGAAGTGAAAATAATATTTGGTAAAACATATATAATAGGTGAAAACTTATTTAACATTCCTTAAATAGTACTAAAAAGAGCTTGATGCATGAAACATGTAAACATTCGCCTGATATGTCACATTATCAAGAAATGGCCGAGCCCATGATTGTTATATAAATGTTATCCAAGTAATTTTTAATTCATCCTGTTTGATTTCATCTTATTATGTTGTATGATAATTGTTGTGATTTATTTTGTATATGATTGTTGTATTCGTTTACCTGTTGAGTTCAATTTTTGTTCACGGCCATGCTGAAAAGTAGCTTCTAGCTGATAGCAGGCTTTTTAATACAAAATACGATCTTACATCGACCCAGTCTTACTCAGCGTAACTTCCGGAAGTAGATGCACCCGCACTAGTCGACCTCAACCCAGCTTCCGAATCTAAAATTCGCGAAATCTAATTTTCATTTTCGATTGTAGACAAACATAACTATTACCCATTTAGAAAATCACTCTAAGGACATCGAGAAACTCGCACGTGGTAAACAATGTGGCCCGAATTCACAAAGTAAATTTGTAGACAAACCACGTTTGTTCAATAGGTTTGTACAAATCTAGGTTATAGAACTCTAACCTGGTTTATTTACAAACCCATTTCACCAACGAAGATTAGAACAAACCTTTGTTTGTAATCCCTGAGCAAGGTTTACATTCAGACCAAGGTTTCTAAAACCATTCTTGGCTGCAGACCTCTTAACATTATTATTATTATTAACATAGTTGTCAGAGGCCATATAGTTAAAATGTTAAGAATTGAAAAAAACTGTTGAACTAAGCATTCTCAGTACAATCCGGAGATCTTAAATGAGGAAGGAAAAAAAATAAAAAAAATAAATTGGTATAGAAGAAGGTATATCAATGTTATTTTCCTTTCGTTTTCCTTTCATCTTCTCTTTTTTTTGTTACATTCTTTTTACTTTTCGTTCTTTTCTATCCCATTTTTCTTCCTTTCCTACCTTTCCTTCCTTTTCTTCCTTCTTTTCGTCTATTTCTTTTTCATTTTTGTTCATTTCCTTTTCTTGCTTTCTTTCCGGCTTATTTTCATCTTCAATAGAAACGTTTATATCTCTCAATGCCACTGGCAGAATTAACATCGTAGGAGTGGTAGGTGACGGTTTTGTGCTGGTGAAGCGAACGGCGATTGACATGGCCTGCTACTTGTGACCGCAGTCCAATGCGTCGCGCTAATTATCTTCGTTCTTATTGAATCTCTCTCTTTCTACAAGAATATTGCTCGACAATGTTTTGTGTATGGAAAGACAAAAATATATTCTAAATCTACTCATGTAAGTCATGCAGTTTCCTATTGGTCTGCTGATTTCTTTATACTTTGCTCTCGCGTGAATTTCGGCGAAACATAGCAGCTACATAACAAGCTCAAGCGAGCAGCATTATGGTGCGTCCATATCGACTAATTTTTCAGGAGCTTAAGCACCGTGTTACACTCTAAAGGGCAAGTCCACTCAAAAAATAAATTACTTTCAATAGAAGCAGAAAAATCAGACAAACCCCCCAAAAAAGTTTGAGCAAAATTGGGTAACTAATAAGAAAGTTATGAATTTTTGAAAAAGTATGTAAAACTATAGAACAATGGAAATCACTACACAAATTGCCAATTTGGTTATCAGTTTATGACGCCATGTCCTCAATATTTATCAATAGCTTTATATATTTTAATCCCTTTAATTTCCCCTTTTATCCCCCAAAACTTGATTTCCCAATGCAAAGGCATTGGGAAATCAAGTTTTGGGAGATAAAAGGGGAAATTAAAGGCCCAGGTTTAATGATTTGTATAACATTGCGTGCATGACATTTCACAAAATCTTTTAGGAACTTTGAAGAATCGATACTATTTTCTGAATATTGTATATTCATAATTATTAGTTTTTATATAAATTGTTTATCAAAATTCACATTTTTCATGAAATTTGTCAACTCTATATTGGTGCATCCACACAACTACATATTACTATCAATCTAACTTGGATGCTGGTGTGAAAGATAAGATTCTTAGGGAGGAAATAGGAAATTTATATTATCAATATAAAGAAAACAATTAGTGAATAGTGAGGACATGACGTCCAAAATCATGAGTTTCCAATTTGTCTTGTGATTTTCGTTGTTCCATAGTTTTACATACTTTTTTCGAAAATTCATAACTTTCTTATTAGTTATTCGATTTTGCTTAAACTTTTTTTGATTAGTTTGTCTGATTTTCTGCTTCTATTGAAAGTAAGTTATTTTTGGAGTGGACTTGGCCATGTTGCACCTTAAAGGGCCCGTGAAAAAAATACAAGTGTATTATTGTTGGTGTGCAGTCCTGCATACATTTCATATTGTAATATGTAAACTTCTGAATTTGTTTCATAGATTTAAAAAAAAAAATTTAAATATATGTTTTTCAAACTTGCTAAGCTCCACCCAAAAAACCTTCAGATGTCATTCTCCTTGTGACATCATCTGTCAGTCATCAATGAGCTAACTTGAGAATATTTAGATGTCATGGGCCCTTTAAGACCTTAATGGGTGTACATGTAGCTAACACGACTATCATCCAGACGGTCACCACCCCGACCTCTACGCCGAACTAACCATACCTACGCCGACTTGCTCTAAACACGACCTTTACGCCGACCAAAACTGCCATCGTGTGAACACGGCTCATGTCATGCTGAGGAAATTCACGTTGCGCAACGACTATTTTGCTTTATACTTCTCTTACATAAACGTTGCCGAGGATAAAATAAATCTGTCAGAATAACGTAAGTTATTTCTTGGGGTGTGGTTTCCTTTAATACACGGCAGTGCTGATCTGTCTTCAGTAGTTTCAGCTACCTTGACAAACTCGGGGGCACCAACAAAAAGGGCACTTTCTGGAGAAAAATAGGGCACCTTCAAAGTGAAATCTCAAAGCGAAAATATGCATTTTTTAGAGAGATTATGATTACATTTTCAGGGATGATTTCAATATTTGTTTCTCTTTATTCATTATATAAGATATTGCTTAAGCATCATACTTTGCAATTGGGTGTGATGGTCTGAAAATTCATTTGCGGACGAGGAAAATGTTTAAGATTTGTGAGGTCGCAGTGCGAAAGATTGCATCTTATAAAGAGAAATACCCAATCCTGATGGGGTTATAAGCACATTGTCATAACGGAAGACTGAAAAGACCTTTGATAAGTTACATCCGTATAACATCTATAACTACGAGCGAGCGTAGCGACCCAGCTTTGGGGGAAATTGTTCTTAGTCGCTTGGAATTAGTGGCACGTTTAATGATGTGAGGAAAAGGGGACACTTATCGAAAGGGTTAAGACACTTATTAGAAAAGGAAAGGAGCACGTGTACAAAAAGGCTAATTATCAGAGGGGGAAATGGGGTACATTCTTACACCTAAAAATAGAGGCACGCACCAGGGATGAGAATGGGAAATTAGGCATTTGTCGACAGAAAAGAGGCACCCATCAGATTTTTATAGGGATATTTTTTTTTTTTTAAAGGAATAGATTCTTTATTAAAAATGAAAAAGGGGAACATATCATTGTTTAGGGTAATTGTCAGAGATAAAAAGGGGCATTTATTGCATCTGAAAAGGAGTGCTGACCATGAATGAAAAGAGGCACTTATGAGAATGCAAAATGGACACTAATGATAAAGGGAAATGTGCATTTGTTGAAAGAAAAGGGGCACCGATCGGATTTCAATAGGGGCATTTATCGGAGATGAAAGGGGCTTTTATGAAAAGAGGAAAGTGGCTCTCATTAAAGAGAAAAAGAGGCACATGTTAAAATAAACGGGGCACTTATCAAAGATGAAAAGGGGAAGGGGCACTTATAGGAAGGAAAAAGAGCATTTATTATGAAGTAAAAGGGGGACGTGTAAAAATAAAAAAGGGGCATCTATAAGAGATGAAAAGTGCACTTAACGGAAGGGGAAGGGGCACTTGTCAAAGTCAAATGAGTATCTCTCAGAATTGAATAGGGTCATCAAACAAGAGTGAGGTGAAAGGGGTCACTTATAGGAATGAAAAGGAACTATATTCATAGATGAAAAGGGGCATTTATGAGAAGGAAAAGGGGCTCTTTTTAAATGGGGGTACTTATCATAAGGAAAAGGGGGCACCTACTGAAAAGGAAAGGGTGCACATGTGAAACTATAAGGTGCGCTCATCCGAGTTAAAAAGGGGGAATTATTAAAAGGGGATGGGGCACTTTAAACAAAGGAAAAGAGGAACTTGTCAAAGCAAAAGGCGCTTCTCGTAACTGAAAAGGGGAACTTTCTAGAGATTAAAAAAGGCACTTATGAGAATTGAATATGGACACTTATTGCAAAGGAAAATGGGAACTTTTTCAAGGAAATGGGGTACGTGTCGAAATAAAAGGGGCACTTTTCAGAGGTGGAAAGGGGGACTTTTCCTGTGTAAAAAGGGGCACTTTTGGAATACTTGAAAGAATTAGGGGTCACTGTTCCCCCTGCCCCCCCCCTCCCCCCAGAGCGCCGCCTGTGCTCTACACCTTTTCCCCAATCGGTCACTGTTCTCCGAGTTGACTTGGATTTTCCCATAGTTCGGTCCGTAATATATCTGGCCCGCACTACTCACTCAGATCGGTAGGTTTACCGGGCTACACCATGTTTAGACTACATGTACATCTCTGAACGTTTGATATTGTTACCTCCTTTCCTGACATATGGCTATCTTATTTTTTCGTTATCTTAACTAACCTTTCTCTTTTGTTTCTAGCATCTACTGTCGGGCGAATAGTTGACCATGAGAATGGTCTATACACCTTACTCTTTGTTGCTGGATGGAGTGGGATGATTAGACTTCGTATCACACTTGTTCATCCCGCTGAATTAGCCAAGTGGATCAGAACTGAATACCTGTAAGTCCTTCCCTGAAGGGAACCTCACATTAAAGAATAAGTGTAGTTGCTTATCAATCTACAATATCGCTTTTAAAAAGGCATCGTTTAACAAAGTTTCCAGTTCTACTAATCTGAGACTGGCCCTACGTCTTATCAATGTATGTGATATGGTGTAATATTGAAGCCCTAAACAAAAGATCATGAATTGCCTCAAAAAAGTAAAAGTCTTTGAGTGACCGATTTTTACCATACTCATTTTCCCAAATACACTGTAATATTATTAAAAACCGTTGGGTAAACGGTTTTTGAAATTTCGAAATCATAAATATCTTGTTAATCAGACAGGCGATCGGCTTGTAAAAGTTCATGGGATTCCTGACTGACCTTACAGTGACTTAGTAACATTGTTGAAGGTTGATGAAAAAATTTCTTAATTTTGTATAAAATGTTACTTACTATACGTATTCCTTCTACTGTACTAACCCTCTGACATGCAAAAAATCCTGACAAAATTCTCAAACCACAAAAATATCTATGGTTTTCTTTGAAGGCGTCGATGTATGACACCCTCTCACAGTGATTAACAGTAAATTCTTCCAACCATTTTTGAATATTTCCAACCGTTTTTCCACGAAAATAAGACATAAAACAGTCTTTAAAAAATCTGTAAACACTTAAATGTCTTGAATGGAATGTAGAGCCATTTTATTGCTTTGTGACGATTTCCATTCACCTAAAATGTAATTAAATTGTAATTATATAATTGGGAGAATTAAGGAATCGATCAGATCAGTTTTTTTTCCAATTTGTACCATGAATAATGGTCCGTTTTGACTCAAATTTTCAGATTATCTTTAATTGTACATCTAGCATTGAAGTTTCTACCTTAGCACCACTATCTCTCATCTGAACAATGTTACCAAGTCCCTTTAAGGTTGATCATTATAATTGCCTCATAAGCTAAATCCAGGATTTTGTTTAGAATCTTAGGCAAAGATAACCAAACCATTAAGAATCTGTACAAGATATCTATAAATGAATATACACTGTTGGTCATAATGGTGGAATAATTATTTTTACCTCAATTTATTGAATGGTTTTGACAATGATTTATTGCTAATAGATCTAGATAATAGTATACATTCTTAGATTTCATTGAATGACAATTAGGGAGTGTTTGTTTTGCGTGACTGCTAAAGCATGTGTGTGTTACTATGCTAACCAACTAGGGGACCTACGTACTTAAGTCATAACTGACAGTAATGGGGATTAATGCCTCATAAAAGGGCACTAATATGGCAACATCGACACGGTTTTGATCCTGGAGGCTCACAGTAACTAGGCCATTGCTTAGCCAATAAATCATGACTGTACGCAGCGGGCGCTAGGGTACGTCGACGCCCCCCCCCAAAAGCAAAAAAACAAAGAAAATGCAATAAATGTTCAAAAATTTATTGTAATTTGCCCCGACCCCCAACATAAAAAAAATCTTCTATGTGGGCATGCCTTGAACCATAATGCATGGCCCTACGGAGAAATTTTTCCTGTTGGGGACTGGGGAAAATTGCAATGAATTATTGAAAAATTATTGCATTTTCTTCTTTTTTTTTTTTGTGGGGGCGTCGACGTACCCTAGCGCCCGCTGCGTACAGTCATGATTCATTGGCTAAGCAATGGCCTCGTAACTGTGAGCCCCCAGGATCAAAACCGTGTCGATGTGCTATATTAGCGCCCTTTTATGAGGCATTAATCCCCATTACTGTCAGTTATGACTTAAGGACGTAGGTCCCCTAGTTGATTAGCATAGTAGCACACACATGCTTTAGCAGTCACGCCAAACACTCCCCAATTGTCATTCAATAAAATATGAGAATGTATACTATTATCTAGATCAGGCCTTCTCAACTGGCGGCGCGGGCGCCAATTGTGGCGCTTGTGGTCAGTCGGAGTGGCGCGCGACTGTTGCAACAACAAAACAAAAAACAGGAAGAAAGAAAATATTTATTTTAGAATTAAATACTCAGCTAAATCAAGAAGTTGCAGTCGAATTTGAGCCCAAAATTTTACCATTTTATACAAATCTAAACCTAAGGTCTGAACAACAATTAGCTTACGATGGGATACCAATTTTAACATTGCCAATCTTTGGAAACAACTTGTTTTTGTTTGTTTGATTTTCACTTTATTTTGACATTTCCCGTGTTTATTGCACACAAAAAATGCATATAAATATACCTCCGGTGTAATTGTACCCAGGAATCGTACTTATTTTTTTTTTCAATAAGAAATTATGATTGATTATATATTGTGGAATGAAATGGTTTTGAAAATGCCCCATTTGGGCCTTTAAAATGCCCTAGATCCACCAGCTTCAGGGGGCCCCACCCCCTGCTACCCCCGTTAGGGCTTCGCCCCCTGACCCCACCCATTTTCGGCTCGGTCGCTACGCTCCCTCGCAGCAAAGTCAACTATATAGGGTGGCGCTTCAATTACAAATTCTTTTCGTTTTGGCACTTCTAATAAACTAGTTGAGAAGGCCTGATCTAGATCTATTAGGAATAAATCATTGTCAAAATCATTCAATAAATTGGGGTAAAAATAATTATTCCACCATTATGACCAACAGTGTACGTTGGGCAAGACGTTATGTCTTTTAGCATTACATGGGCGCCGCCATTATTGGCGACCACTTTTGGCGACCACTTAGTTTGACTATTTGAAGATTCAGATGACCAAGTGACCATTTCCATTAATCTTACTCAACGGAGTAAAATTCCAAACCGGCATATATAATTTACTTTTAATCTACAGTTTGAAATTTGCATGACAAATGCAATATTGGTTTAGCTTTTTTGAAAACCAAAGAAAAGAGACATTTATATTAGCTTAAAAAAAGAAGATTTTAATAAAACTTTAAATATAACTGAATCAAGGTCAAAATATTATCTTGCTTAATCAGCTTGAAGCCCGATATAGCTCCTTAGTTGTTATAATGTCTTTATTCGCATCAAATTGCATCACCGTTTAACGCGTTGTTGTAACATCCATATATTTCCAATTCCGTTTAACCGCTAAAAAAAAAATGGTTTTAGGTTAAACGAAAATTACTCACTTCTGCCAAGGTCGCCGCTGATTAAAAGTAAAAATAGTAGAATACCACGCACTAGTGTTCTAGCTACGGTGGTCGGCACTGGACGGGCCGGCTGCCCCGACCAGCACGGAGAATTTCCAACCCGGCACTACTCCTGACCCTACTCCGACCGGAACTAATTTCACATTTAAAGCCCCACTTCACTAGTTTGACCAGGAGGGATTAGACCTCCCTGCATGGTCACTGACAGATGGTTATCTCATCAAATCAGCTCTCAATTAACATAAGAAAAAGGGGATAATGGGGGACCAATGGCCACCGATTTAATAGGCATTGTTTGCTATATAGAGGGCACCAGTAGCTATAAGTAGTGCTGTGGGGCTTAAACGTAACCATGTATGAAAAAAAAGTAGTACTTACATTCATATTTTCGTCTTTTATCGTGTTTTTCTTTTTGGTGCAATTGTACAAGAATCATGTTTTATTTTGACAATAAATGATTATTTCTAAAGATTTACCGAGTGTTGTTTTCAATGTTACAATTCATGAAAGCCGCCATATTGAATTTACCGATGTATACGCTATATTACACATAGATAGCAGCCCATACTCGTTTGACTAGTGTTCATATAAATGTTTATTTTTAATAGGGTAAATACGAAATTTCGTAGTTTTCCAGAAAATTAATAAACAAAAAAACTATAATGTACATTTATTTTATTATTTATAATGTAAAATTTGTCCGATATTGTACAATTTATTTTATATTTTTCATTCATTGGGTTCGAGGCGAACTTGTTTTGATCAGCGCCTAGTACGCACATGTATTCGTGTTTATAGCTCGCGATCGCGATACTGCAGAGGTCAGGATTTGGGATAAATGGCGTCAGTGAAGTATTGTGCATGTATTTCGAGGCTGGGAACTTCGTTTTATGAGTCAACTTCTTAATCTGCAATTTTGCAGTCGATTGTTATCGTGTAGATTGTTGCTCTGCAATTCAATATTACAAGTCGGGGCTGACTTATGATGACTATAGTGTCAGTTACACTTGATTTAGTAGCTTTATAAACAAAGTGATACCTAGTCATTGTTCCAATGCATGCCCGACAGTAAAGTTCCGTGTTTGTTAAGTTATTTTGTTTTTGATTATGTTAATTATTTGTTAATATTGTGGTTTCTTTGATTATCCAATAAAAACACAAATACAACTAGACATATAATACTTGTTTGGAACAAGTATAGGTGGGCTGGTCAACTAACATTTGAGACAAAATAGAGCAAAAATAAGCGACATACTGCTTACAAATTCTTAAAAGACAATATCATGTAGATTCATAACGTGAACTAAATTCACCTTCTATAGGCATAACACGCAAATTATGAAGTTTTTGACATGAGGCCTTTAATCAAAATTTTCACTATGATGACGTCATCAAAATGAAAAATGGTTATTACTGCGCTTGTAGAGAATTGTCTTAGCTACAACTCGAAATTTTGAAGAAAATTGATCAATATTTACAGAGATACAATCAATTTTACATAAATATGCTGACGTCATAATATGCAAATTCGTATTTTGAGTTCCAAGGCCATTGTGATGATGTCACGATACACTTAATGGCCAAACTAGACATGGAATCATATTTCCGACTCATACTCTATCTTAATATGAAAAAAATTGAGGATCCCGGTGCATTCCAAAGAGCTATGACGGATTTTGTATAGGCATGTTTTTGCCCATATATGCTATGTATTAAAAGACCTCGCGCGCACTGACAATTATCTTGAATTTACGCTCATCTTGTTAATAATGGTCATAAAGAGATAAACATGGAATCAAATTCCTTGAAAAAATATGAGAAATATCATGAAAGAAAAAAAAATGGCGATTCTATGTTTTTTAATGGTGTTACGCGCGAAAACGCGCGCGCATGCTCGTACGCGCGATTTTTTATAAAATGCTTAAAATGACCTGAAACGTATGCAAAATAAATTTAAGACGAATTTGAGCATTTAAAAATTTTGCGCGCGCACTGACGCGCAGACGTACGCGCACGCGCGCGTTTTTTGACCTGAAATTGACCGGACTGATATTGACCTTGATCGTGATAAATATGAATGAGAAATGAATTACCGTTATGAAAATATGATCATGAGTAAATTTTCAGAAAATTTCACAAAATGGCGCCTAGATGACGTCATCAGTCAAGGTCAAGGTTGAAAACTTTGCTGTGCCTTGTTCATATGCCTATACATATGTGTGCCAAATTTTAAGATATTTGATTGAGCCATTTTCAAATTATCTTGCTCACAAAAAAGTGGGTCGAAATAAGAAAAATAAATAATAAAGAAATAATAAAGGCAATTTTAACAAAATTATAAGGTGGTCTGTATTAGATACAGCCCACCTAAATATGACCAAACGATTTTTTTTTAAAAGTCCCTGTAAACGAAACCGTCAAATTGAAAACGGATAGTGCCATGGACCGTTGGATACCAGACGGTTAAACGTTTGACCGCAGCAAGCGGAGTCGGAGTCCAAATATTATATTGATTAGAAACAGAGATTTAAGTAGAAATTAAAATTTCCTTTATTTCAACAAAGCGAAGGTGTCAAGCGTTAGAATCTGGAAGGATTTTTATTATATGATACATTTCATAATTATAAACAGCCATAGCATGAGAGCTCCCAGCTGGTCAGGACTGTTCAAATTTGGAGAGCACGAAGAACGATCACCGTGTTCCCTCAGCCTCGACGCCGTTTGGAGTGAGAAGTGTGTAGCCAAGCCTAAAGCTCTACAGTACGCCATCATAGTATGCAATCCACCAAAGACCCTTCCATGCGATACACTAGTGAGCCTTAATGGAATTCCATCTCTCTACACACAAGACTTCAAGAAACGTTTACCATCAGCCCGCAAGAAATTTCTTCAGAGGTAAGCTGATATTTACATCTTACCATAATAATATGCAGGGATGGGTGCACAGCAAACTTCTTTTTTCAGATATGTTTAGAAATTTGAATTACCATCATAATCATAATTACCTTCATAATCATCATGGAAGTTGTTGCTGATTATATGGATCATACTACGTATTGATCTCTACCTCATCGTTGACACTGTACGAGTTCCATCCTACCCACCCCATCCCCAAACAAATAGGAACAGAAAAGAGAACAGGAAGAGAATGTGCTGTACCATTACTTTAAAGATTAAAGTAAAAATTGAAAGTAATCTCTATAAGAATGTTATTATGATAATTTTCACTGTTTATACGAGCAGGTTATAACTTTAAAAGATAACTATGTATTACGTCTCCCCAACATAGTTAAAATAAGTGCTTTTCTACCCAATTTGATAGAAGTTCTGAATGTTTGGTTAACGGTTTTAGTGTTATATTTGTATGTTGGTTTTGAAGACTGTAATTGCTTCCAGGCATAGATTTTTTCCTTCATTTTCTGCAAGCAGGTATCCGAGTAAACGGAGCACCGGAAGCAGAATCCTAATATTGATCAGAGTGAAATATGAAATATGAATGACGAATTTTATGGATCGCATAAGGATCCGTTTTAATAATAATAATAATAGCTAGTTCTTATATAGCGCTTTTCAGGACCGAAGGCCCTCTCAAAGCGCTTTACAGATATATATATTATTACCCCGGTCATAGGATTCAGGCTTACCCGCACACAATGTATGCACATTCTCCACTCCCTGGGGAGCATTCCAGCCAGGCGTCTTTTTCACAAGCGCACACTTGCTAATCTAAGCACATTAGCTTTCGCATCCTACCGGGTACCCATTTAACACCTAGGTGGAGAGTGGCAAATGTAGATCAATGTCTTGCCAAAGGACATTAGTGCTGCGGTGGGACTTGATGGAACAACGGATGTGAGATTAGTATCTAAGTAATTAATGTATGTTTTTTCAACTGATGTTTCGTTGCAGACCATATTACTATACAGCCATCACAAACGTTCCAAGTGATATTTTTGTTACTGGTGAGATTTCTTTCATTATTATTATTATTCTCATTATCACCTTTATATTTTTATTATTCATTCGGCAAAGCCAACAGAACAGTATAAACACAGAACAGCAGTAAAGTTTGAAGAGAGTCTTATCGACACCGGGAAAAGAAAAAGATTACATAAACTTCTACAACCCGCAGGTCTTCTTCTTCCAAACCATGTGTCTTCTCATGAATAAATAGCAAAGCATATAGCAATATACAACGAATAGTGAATTGCAAGTACGAGAGAAAAAACAATCTTTTAATATTACTTACTGTTTCTATGATTTTCCTTCTTTTGATATTCATTTTGCAATAACTTAATTTGACTGGCTTAAAAAGTAATCTTCTAAAAATTAATATATTTGTATATTAATGTACATGTTTTAGTTAATAATTACAAAGGAGGAATAAAAATAGTTGTTGGGGTTTTTTAAACGCTAAAATTGTCAGTCATTTTGCTCCCTCGCATTAGTTGCGTCAATTTTTTTATTTTCCCAAATATATGAAACATGAAAGGCGTTTTGAAAGGGTTCAACATCTGAAGAAAGATCTTAAAGAAATCTTCATTGTCAGGCAACTTATATATTCGTTGACGATATTTCCCCACATATTTGTCAAATTCTGCGCCCTATATAAGGAATAAGGGAATAAAAATGTCTCATACATGTCAACAATTCGAAGCTCTACCTTTCGATTGCTGCGGTTACTAGCACATTTTCCTATCGGTAAAATGCATTAAAAAAATGCTCGTACTATTATGTAAGTAAGTTTGTCCTGAGTAAATAATCCCGAGATACACCACTGGATTTTGCAACATTTTACCTTGCCTTTAGGACTTCACCAGAAATATTCCATTTGGCAATAAGGCGGTTAGAAATGAAAAAGGTAATGTCGTAAGTCTCATATTACCGAACTTATCAAAGAGAACCATGCAACTGAGGTCGAATTAGGACAAAATGTAATTTTAGGGGAAATATTACAAACATTTATGGCACTCATATACCATTTGTATCATTTAATGTTTTCTCCAATCTCGACGTTTTTTATTGAAACAAAGCGGATGACTCAAAGAGACAGCACCTTCTTTCTGATGGAACGTCTTATCTACCGCGCTGTGAACCAGGAATGGACACGCCTTTGACAGAAGGATACTGGTGGAACAGGACTTGGTTCTCTTTAACTTGTGGTCCTCGTGTCTCTTTGAACAAGGCCAATGTACATCATTGTCTTCACGATACCAACATCTACTTCACCGGTGATTCGACCACAAGGCAATGGTTTGCCGCCATCACCGAGGCCCTAGGGTTAGGACAACCCGAGGATCATGAAAGGGCTTTTCTGCTGCAGAGACGTGATAAGGCAGCAAATCTAAACCTTACATTTATCTTTCATCCTCTTACGGCCCATCCCCAGCAGGTCTTTGTCAATCTCTCGACGGTCAAGTTTGAAGCTGATGTTATCCTCGAGTTGCCACGTCATACCTGTAGGAATGTTGTCGTGTTCAGTCCATGGGCACACTTCTCTATCTGGCAGTGGGAGGCTTACACGGACTGGTTGAAGGGCATCAGGGCAGCCATTTTGGTTGCCAAGCAAAGATGTCCGGATCTCCTTTTTGTTTATAAGAGTCCACATCCCGTAGACAAGTGGTCGGTGTTCCCTGCGAGAGACGTTGTCTTTAATGAGATGAGAGCACTTGTCAGGGATATTTTTGAAGGTCTTGGTGTAATCTTCGTTGATATATGGGATATAAACCTAGGAAGTCCATGGCCTATTACATTACATATGCCCAGTGACGTCATTGATCAGGAAGTTTCTGTATTGTTGTCTTACTTGTGTCCGTTGCTACAGAGCAGGGACAAGAAAAAAACAACGGTATAGAGATAAACAGTTTACATCAGAGGGTGATGTGTAGGATGAAACATTTAGTCACAAACAAATTTGAAAATCGTCTCAATGTGATTGTTTAGCATGTAAAGGCAGAGGCCTATGCTTCTATCAATAATTAAGCGCTTAAATGATGTTCAGTCCTTACATTACAATGTGCTAAATCCCTTTTTATTTTCCTCTGTCTTAGTCCCTCCTTCTCTCTCTCGTTTGTTACATGCTATTGTAATACCCCAATCAGCCATGATCATAATGCTATATCGAAACCAGTTAAATGTGAAGGGACTATGATGCATTACTAGTATCAAAATGCAAATCACATCAAGAGGATCGATAATAGCCAAACGTGCCTTAACTTTTTGAATAATAGAAAAGGCGATTATTCCCCTTCTTTCCATAACTCCTTTGACTCTTATTTCTTCAATATTATTGTTCAATGTGCCTTAAAACTCTGCCCAATGTATTTATGATATATATTGTGCCTTTCTCAGGCAGATCCAGGTTGTGGGCTTAGGGGGCACGGGCCTCCAGCCCCTGGTAAAAAAAAAATTAGAAAAAAAGATGGTGACCACAATTTTTCCTTTTTGTTTTGCTCAAGGGGATATGGGGTGTTGAGTAAAAAAAAAAAGTAGTGCTCATTATCGACTCCCCCTCCCCGCTAAAGCGCCGCTAAATATTTTCTGACGAATTGGGCCCCCTCCGGCCTTGCCGCTGGCTGGATCCGCCCCTGGTCATCCTTATTACCGTTCTTACCCTCTCATCAGTTCTCAATCCCAACACTGTTCCCATTATTGCATATCCTTTTTTAACAGTTCATTCCTTTTTTTGGGGGTCTTTTTCCTCTCTCTCCGTAATTCCTTACTCGTCTTCTCACTTATTTCATTTTCTCCCAACTTCTCACCCCTCCCACTTTTCCTATCTCTATCTATCCTCTTTAATCCTCCAGTAATGTGTTCAAACTATAGGCATGCCTCTAACCTATATTACATGTGAAGCCAGCAACAAGGGGGTTCGGAGGGCTCCATCGAAACCCCTAATATTTGCAAAGGTTAAAAAAGGGGGAAGAAAAGAGAGAAAGGAGGAGAGAGGAGAGATGACAAGAGAAAAGAAGAAGATCCGGTTATAAAGCCCTTCAGAGGACCCCCAACCATACTCACCCCCACCCACAATCCGATGTTAAAACAGCTTAAAACCGGGGTAGTCTAGACTGTTCACACCAGCAGAGATAGCGCGGTCTAGCGCGCGATAGACCGCGCTATCTCTGCGGTGTGGAAGGTACAACGTCGTTTCGGTCCGCCCAACAGCGAGCCACGGCGAGCCAAAACGGCGTGCCACTGGAGCACCTCTTAAAAGGCTGTTCACACCGCAATGAGATAGCGCGGTCTATCGTAGCACCCCTTTTTTTCTAGCGCGCGCTAGCCCGCGCTATCTCTCGTGGACCACCCCCAAGAGGTGCTCCAGTGTTGGCTCGCCGTGGCTCGCTGTTGGGCGGACCGAAACGACGTTGTACCTTCCAAACCGCGGAGATAGCGCGGTCTAGCGCGCGCTATCTGTGCCGGTGTGAACAGCCTCTTAGGGGTGGTCCACGAGAGATAGCGCGGTCTAGTGCGCTAGAAAAAAAGGGGGTGCTACGATAGACCGCGCTATCTCATTGCTGTGTGAACAGGCTCCTAGTGCTGTATATTAATATTTGAATATATACCGTTGGTACGGTGTGGTTGAGATCAGGCGCGTAGCCACGGGGGGGGGGGGGGGGGGGGGGGGGGGGCACGTGCCCCCCAAAATTTCCAGGATCCGTTGAACTTTTTTAGACCCCCCTTTTTTTTTTTACCTCGATCGATTTCATGTATTTGCCCCCCAAACATTAAACTCTGGCTACGTGCCTGGTGGAGATCAAATTAAATCGGCCAGATTCTGGACTAACCAGTATGTCACAATGATTATGGACAAGTTACGACCAGGGTAGTCATTCGTTTACGGTAAGCCTCCCGATTTTCTAGTAATGTCATTTACTTTTAAAGTAAACATAGCTTTGCACTTGTAATGTTTGTATGAAATATCATTATTTGATAAATTATCTCACCAGATTATGTGTGCGTGCATATCATGAATATTTACGACTAGCGCATGACGTATAGGGGCCTATTGAGCCAATCAAATGCAACGGTAGGATGGCTAGGTTAGGAAAAATGACGCCCCGGGCCCCCTGTATCCGCCACATGACTGCACAAATCTATACATGCATTATATCATAGTCACGCAACATTTGTCTCATTTGAAGATTCAAACCCCGGACTCAACCATGGCAGAATGTGAGTGATTTGTATTTCTTTCTTTTGATTCCCTTTTTTTAAAAAAATCTTACATGTTACATGTTTAATGGTCATTACGGCTGAATTCATTAACACTTACTCATGACATGTGTCTATTAAAAACCAATGTCATCCTTTACCGATGTGTACCTCTACCTTTATTAAAATGGTTTAACCTGAGTCTTCATGCTATAAATAATTTTAAAGAAATATATCGATATATTAATCAGGAACTTGTCACATTATAGGTTTATACACGTAATACCTAATTTGTTATACTGAACTTACTCTATTGTGAAAAAATAATAACATGCATGCAGTTCCTTCATCAATAGAAATACTTTAAAGAAGTGCATATTACTCTTTTGCTTTTGAATTACCAATCAACTCCCCATTTGTAATGATCCTATTTTCTTATACAATGGACCTGTTTACTGCTTGCTTATATTGAATGCATGCATGCTTTCTTGACAGGGGTTGTTCCTAACAACTTGGAAGCTTGCCCAGGGTTTGCCCGACGTGGCAGCAGCTAGGGTATGCAAGCTAATTCCAAGCTGGATCCAAGAATTGAGGTGTATTTGTTAGGTACAGGTTGATGTGGCTTGTTGCTGGTACGGGGGGGGGGGGGGGTGCATCCATGAAGTTGGTGGACCGACCTATTCACTGAGTCTTAATCTTTGTTAACTTTGACTTAATTCATATATTACTATTTTCTTACTTAATTACGCATTTGTTAATGGAATTTCTTTCTGCAGAGGCTGGTAGCACTTTGATCGCTTATTTCATGTCGATAATGGGGCTCTTTTATAACACATACACATACATCATTTATAGCTTGGTATGTATTTTCCTTACTATTATCTCATACGTTTAAGAAGATTGACCCAATAGCTGTGAACTTATCAACTTAAGCTACGTTCAGACGGACAAAAGTTACCCTAGGGTAAAGGTCGTGTTAAAGATACTATGTCCCTTTTGCAGCCAACATCAAATTCTGTAGAACTTTGCAGGAATTATGAATATGTTATGTATGTCCTATCTGTGAAATTTAAACTTGAGCAGTGTCCTAATATTCAAATTATGCAAGGAAACCCGTTTACTTGCTAGACTTCACCGTCAGACACTATTGAGTGACTTACTGGCTTTTTTCATCTTTGGTAATATTATACATAAAATGAGCTGTATCGGGTACATGAGCATGTGCCTACATCAATGACCCACTTCTTGTAATGGCCAAAATTAAACTGATTGAATCTTTGGGCAGCATAAAACGTACGACCATTTTTTTTTTTTTTTTTTGGGGGGGGGGGGGGGGGGTGAGCACTGTTTTTTTTGGCCGGAGGGAACGTGCCCCCTAAGCTCCCCCCTGGATCCGTCCCTGAAAGGTATACTAAAATCAATACAAACTACAAATCGCATGTATAAAACATATACACGTAAAAAACTATCAGATGTAAATTTAACAACTTATACAAAATACCGTAACAAATAAACGAAATTAATTCGAATATCCCGGAAGGTACACTTTTTAAATAAATTAAAGAGGGCTAGTTGTAACACTTATTTCACTTGGAAAGTTATTAACAAAATTATGGGGAAATTAATAGACCCTTTACCAAAATATGAGCTACCTTAAATAATGTTATAATTGAGGACTCTAGTGATTATGCTAATTATTTTAATTAATTTTCACTAATATTGGGCCCCAACTTGCAAGTAAAATTGATAGTCCTAACATTCATTATACTGAATTTTAATTAGATCGAATCCAACAATCACTTTTTTTAAGTCCCACAAACCTTAATGAAATTATTACCGTTACTAAAGCATGTCCAAACCTCAAGGTTGTGATAGAAATAGTACATCACTTTTAAAACAAATAATACATGTTATTGCTAATCCACTAACCCATATTATTAATCAGTCTTTATTACAAGGTGCTTTTCCAGATTTACTTAAGATAGCGAAGGTAACTCCGATCTTTAAAAAAGATGATTCTCATATGGTCGTCCAATATCTGTTCTAAAGTTCTAAAGTAACTAAAGTTTTAGTCCACCAGTACTTCCATATTTAACATACTGCAATATTGTTTGGACAAATTGTGGCGTATCCAAACTTAATTCGATTTTTTTATTACAACAAAAAAGGGCCCTGTGCATTTGGATCTCTCTTTTTTTAGCCCATACAGAACCAATATTTCTAAAGTTAAAAACCTAAAAAGTCACTGACTTTAATACATACTCTCCAAGTTGCAGATTTTATGTTCAAATACATGAATAAGCAACTGCCACCTTCATTCGATATTTTGGTGTTCATAGTAATACAATTAATTCTTATCCAAATCGTATTTCTGAGAATTTTCATTTAACTAACCCCAGATTGTTGATTACACATAAATCAATCAGACATAATGGCTCCGATTTATGTAACAGTTTATCTAAAATAGTTAAATCATGCTCGACCTTTTATTCTTTTAAAGCTACACTCAAACGTCACATTATATCACCATACAAAATCGGTTCTCATTAAAATTTGTCTCTGAATTCGAATTAATTTTAAATTTATTAATTCTTAAAACTATAGACCAGTATTGGATTATAAACAATACGTACCAGAACCCCATTCGCACTTGCACACTGTCATGCACTTTCACTGCACCCACTTGATCAATTTACGAGTGATGCCGCTAATTCTCTCGAGGCCGCCGTCGATTTCTCACTTACCGGTCATGATGGCGGTCTCCTGAGGTTTTGTAATTTACCTGTTTTCATTGACAAATATTTGTGTTTGTATGCATAGGCACCGGAAGTGGGGGGGGGGAGGGGCAGTTGCCCCCCCCCCAAAAAAAAGTGCAAAACGCATTTTTGCCCCCCCCCCTCCCCCCCCCCCCCCCCCCCCCCCCCGCCGAAAAAAAAAAAAAAAAAAAAAAAGGAGTAAAGATGGTTTGTATTTTTAACCCAAAAGAACATAACAATAAAACAAACCTGAATTAAATGACGTATAAAATTCCATTCAAAGGAAAGGAAAGTTAACAGGAATTAAATTTCCTAAACATTGCGCATGCTACCTATATTTATCAATGGATAAAACAATAGCGATACGCGCATATCGTGGACATATTGTGAGAGAATGGGAAAGCGTGTCTGTTTTTTGTTATAGGGGTGAGAAGACATGAGCCCCTGAACGCTGGCGTACTGATGGGGGGGGGGGTAATTTTGTATTCGATACCAGTGATTTACAAATGTTGC